CTCAGCCCTTGGATCTTTTCCATGTTGGTGCCTGGGAGAGTGGAGGGGAAGGGGCTGGGAGCATCCCATGGGATGGGGAAGGAGATGGGGACACCCCAGGGGACAGGGGAAGGACTTGGGAGCATCCCAGGGGACAGGGGAAGGAGCTGGGGACATCCCAAGGGACAGGGGAAGGAGCTGGGAGCATCCCAGGGGACAGGGGAAGGAGCTGGGGACATCCCAAGGGACAGGGGAAGGAGCTGGGGACATCCCAAGGGACAGGGGATGGAGCTGGGGACATTCCAAGGGACAGGGGATGGAGCTGGGGACACCCCAGGGGACACTGGGGACAGCGGGGACAGTGCCACCCCGTCCCAGATGGCCTCACCAGCACGGAGCAGGAGGTGTTGTCCAGCAGGAAGAGCTCCTGTCCCATGGCCAGCAGCACCATGGTCACCCTGTCCTGGGCCAGCACGGCCCAGCACGGCGGGGGCTTCTGCAGCCCTGCGGGGACAGCGTGACACCCCCGGGACACGGGGGGACAGGGGGAACGGAGGGGACAGGGAGGGACAGAGGGGACAGACAGAGGGGGACTGGGGACAGAGGGCACCGAGGGGTGGTGGGACAAGGAGGGGACACACAGGACAACGGGGTGGACAGTGGGGACAAACCAGAGGGGCACGTGGGCGAGGGGGACAGTGGGGATTGGGGACAGAGGGACACAGAAAGAAGGACAAGGGGATGGTGGGGACAGAGAAACAGAAGGGGAACAGGGAGCACGGAGGGGACAGTGGGGACAGAAGGGGACACGGGGACACCCACCAGGGACCTCGGGCAGGCGGCGCAGCTTGAGGTCCTCGATGTTGGTGGCGAGGGAGAAGCGCAGCGCTCCCGTCAGGATGGCCACGCCCGTGCCGAACTCCGTGTGGAAAACCTGCGCCTCCAGCACCCGGTTCTGCAGCACCTCCTGCGGGACACGGCGGCCAGGGGACACTGGGGACACCGGGGACACTGGGGATACTGGGGACAACGGGGATACTGGGGACACCGGGGACAATGGGGACACCGGGGACACCGGGGATACTGGGGACACTGGGGATACTGGGGACACCGGGGACACTGGGGACAACGGGGACAATGGGGACAATGGGGACACTGGGGACACTGGGGATACTGGGGGCGCCTGGGACACCAGGGACACCGTGGACATTGGGGATACTGGGAACAACGGGGGACACCGGGGACAACAGGGACACAGGGGACACCAGGGACTCCGGGGATACTGGGGGCACGGGGGACACTGGGGACAACAAGGACAATGGGGACACTGGGGACAACGGGGATATTGGGAACACTGGGGACACCGGGGATACTGGGGGCGCCTGGGACACCAGGGACACCGTGGACATTGGGGATACTGGGGGCACGGGGGACACCGGGGACACCGGGAACACCAGGGACACCGTGGACATTGGGGATACTGGGAACAACGGGGGACACCGGGGACAACAGGGACACGGGGGACACCAGGGACACCAGGGACTCCGGGGATACTGGGGGCACGGGGGACACCGGGGACAACGAGGACAATGGGGACACTGGGAACACTGGGGACACTGGGAACACTGGGGACATTGGGGATACTGGGGATACTGGGGACACAATGGGGACACTTGGGACACCGGGAACACCAGGGACACCGGGGACACAACGGGGACACCGGGGACACCGGGGCAGGCAGCGAGCTGTGGCTGCTCCTGGATCCCTGCAAGTGCCCAAGGCCAGGCTGGGATGTGGAAGGTGTCCCTGCCCAGGGTTGGGGTGGGATGGGCTGTGAGGTCCCTTCCCACCTACCCCATCCCAAATCCCATCCCAATCCCATCCCAATCCCATCCCAATCCCATCCCAATCCCATCCCATCCCACTCCCATCCCAATCCCATCCCAATCCCATCCCAATCCCATCCCAATCCCATCCCAATCCCATCCCAAATCCCATCCCAATCCCATCCCAANACACTGGAGATACCAGGGACACCAGGGACACCGGGGACAACGAGGACACTGGGGACACTGGAGATACCAGGGACACCAGGGACACCGGGGACAACAGGGACAATGGGGACACTGGGAACACTGGGGACACCGGGAACACTGGGGACATTGGGGATACTGGGGACATTGGGGATACTGGGGATACTGGGGACACAATGGGGACACTTGGGACACCGGGAACACCAGGGACACCGGGGACACCGGGGACACCGTGGACATTGGGGATACTGGGGGCACGGGGGACACCGGGGACACCGGGAACACCAGGGACACCGGGGACACAACGGGGACACCGGGGACACCGGGGCAGGCAGCGAGCTGTGGCTGCTCCTGGATCCCTGCGAGTGCCCAAGGCCAGGCTGGGATGGTGGAAGGTGTCCCTGCCCAGGGTTGGGGTGGGATGGGCTGTGAGGTCCCTTCCCACCTACCCCATCCCAATCCCATCCCAATCCCATCCCAATCCCATCCCAATCCCATCCCAATCCCATCCCATCCCACTCCCATCCCAATCCCAACCCAATCCCATCCCAATCCCATCCCATCCCACTCCCATCCCAATCCCATCCCAATCCCATCCCAATCCCACCCCAATCCCATCCCAAATCCCATCCCAATCCCGTCCCAAATCCCATCCCAAATCCCATCCCAAATCCCATCCCGACTCCCATCCCAATCCCACCCCAATCCCATCCCAATCCTATCCCAATCCCATCCCATCCCAATCCCATCCCAATCCCATCCCAAATCCCATCCCAAATCCCATCCCAATCCCATCCCAATCCCATCCCAAATCCCATCCCAACTCCCATCCCAACTCCCATCCCAATCCCATCCCAAATCCCATCCCAAATCCCATCCCATCCAAATCCCGTCCCAATCCTGTCCCGATCCCATCCCAAATCCCATTCCAATCCCACCCCAATCCCATCCCAATCCCATCCCAATCCCATCCCAATCCCAATCCCAATCCCATCCTAATCCCATCCCAATCCCACCCCAATCCCAATCCCACCCCAATCCCAATCCCATTCCAATCCCACCCCAATCCCATCCCAATCCCATCCCAATCCCATCCCAATCCCACCCCAATCCCATCCCAATCCCGTTCCCTCACGTTGCCCATGCTGAAGTGCCTCTGGAACTCGCAGAAGATGTTGTAGACCAGCACGGTCCCGTCCTCCTGGATGCACAGCAGGTCCTCGCCCGCCGTCCAGCCCAGGTGCACCAGGCTGCCGCTCTTCCACTGCCCATGGCACGGGAAGGGTCAGCCCCGGGCCAGGGACGGACCTCCAGGGACACCCCTGAGGTGGCCCGTGTCTGACAGCTTGTCCACAGCTTGGACACCTCACCTGGAGGTCCAGCACCTCATCCAAAAGTCCAAAACCTCATCCAGAGCTTGGACACCTCACCTGGAGGTCCAGCACCTCATCCAAAAGTCCAAAACCTCATCCAGAGAATTGACACCTCATCCAGAGGTCCAACACCTCACCTGGACATCCAACACCTCATCCAAAAGNCACCTCATCCAAAAGTCCAAAACCTCATCCAGAGAATTGACACCTCATCCAGAGGTCCAACACCTCACCTGGACATCCAACACCTCATCCAAAAGTCCAAAACCTCATCCAGAGAATTGACACCTCACACAGAGGTCCAACACCTTACCCAGAGGTCCAACACCTCACCTAGAGGTCCAACACCTCATCACAGGTCCAACATCTCACCCAGAGCTTGGACACCTCACCTGCAGGTCCAACACCTCATCCAAAAGTCCAAAACCTCATCCAGAGAACTGACACCTCATCCAGAGGTCCAACACATCATCCAGAGGTCCAACACCCCAACTGGAGGTCCAACACCCTAACTGGAGGTCCAAAACAATAACTGGAGGTTCAATACCTCATCGAGAGGTCCAACACATCATCCAGAGGTCCAACACCTCACCTGGAGGTCCAACACCTCACCTGGACGTCCAACACCTCATCTAGAGGGCCAGCACCTCATCCAGAGAACTGACACCCCATCCAGACGTCCAACACTCCACCTGCCCTGGCTCTGCAGGTCCCTGCAGTCCTGGCATTGTCCTGGCATTGTCCTCCACTGCCCCATGTCCCCTCAGCCCAGGCAGGGGGGATGGACAATGTTCCTGTGGCTCCTGTCCTCATCCCATCCTCCTGTCCCATCCCTGGGCAGCAGGGCAAGGATTCTTCTGCTCCAAACCCACCAAACTCCATCCCATCTTCTCCTTCCATCCCTCACCAGCAGGGAAAGGATTCTCCTGCTCCAAATCCCATCCCATCTTCTCCTTCCATCCCTCACCAGCAGGGAAAGGATTCTCCTGCTCCAAATCCCATCCCATCTTCTCCTTCCATCCCTCATCATGAGAGGAAGGATCCTCCTGCTCCAAACCCTCCAAACTCCATCCCATCTTCTCCTTCCACCCCCCATCATCAGAGGAAGGATCCTTCTGCTTCAAACTCCATCCCATGTTCTCCTTCCATCCTTCACCAGCAGTGAAAGGATCCTCCTGCTCCAAACCCATCCCATCCTCTCCTTCCATGCCAGGCCCCCTGTCCCCCAACCCCGGGGTCTCCGTCCCCCCGGCTCACCGGGACACTGGCCAGGAGCAGCCCCGAGGCCGAGTAGATCTCCAGGAGCGGGCGGGCGCCGGGGGTCTTGTCCCGCCGGGAATTCCTCAGCAGAGCTGGGACAAGGAGGGGACGGTCCCTGAGCTGTGGGTGGCACAGGCCCGGCCCGGGGACGGGGGCTCGGGGGGCTGCACCCACCTATGGGACCCCCGTACGGGGCAGCGGCCACCACGCAGTCCCGCAGGTCCTCCCGCAGCCCCCACTCCATGGAGTAGAGCTCCAGCTTCCTGTGGGACACGGAGAGATGGAGGAGGGATGATGGATGGATGGATGGCAGTCCCGCAGGTCCTCCCGCAGCCCCCACTCCATGGAGTAGAGCTCCAGCTTCCTGTGGGA